TTGGGCATGGCTTATGGCCACTCCCCTTTACTGTTGATTGTACCTGCACTCCATCAAGGTTCAAATCTCAGCTGTTGCTTTCTCTGGGAAACCAACCAGCACTTGAAAGGCGTTCCCACTTACACACATGCTGAAAAATTCAGACTACAAATACATTAATAAACTGGATTTCTAATGAGGAAATCTTAACTGGTCTGTTTTATCTTGGCAATCATTAAATTGCAAATCAGTCACAGCTTGTCCAAATTAATAGACAAACTAAACCACGTGGGCCACACATCATCTGAATAATTAGTTAATTGACTGATCAACAGAGTCAGTAACAGGAGGTGTTGATGTTTAGAAAGCCAAGATCAGCTGGAAATCATGAACAGCACACAAATGTCACATTTACCATTTTATTGGACACAAACTTAAGTAGATCATTGTCAAAAACATGCCAGTTCAAAACAGAAACAGGTTGAGTCAGGAAAAGGCTCAGATGCATAACAGTTCGGCGGTTGCTCCTCTCAAAATACTCCATGCAAAGTCACTCACTGCTTTTCCTCATGACCTCCAGCAGCTCAAACCAAGAGATCCCTACAAACAGACAGCAGTGAGACGATCAGAAACACTTCAAATTTCACTAATAACTTCCCCTAGGAAGCTACAAATCTCAGAAAGAAACAAAGTGATTGTTTATAGAATAAATATAGATCATAGGAGGTGAAAACGCATGCTCATTTTATGAGCAATTAAACCAATGCAACAGCATCTGTAAGATATCAATCAAGCTACAAAATAGAATTAAATGTCACTTTGATGTTAATCCAAAACAACAAGTTAACATACAGACTCCTTCTACGAGCTATACAAGTATTTTACAAGTATTTTGCAAGTATTTTACAAACCTGTTCCAAGCGCCACACCAACATTGCACACCCTCGACGTCTTTCTTATCTGACCCATATATGTCTGGTTTTGGAGTCTCTACTAACGAGCTGATGAGTCGATTCAGGTGTGATTGATTAGGAAGAGTTGGAAAATGTGTTGTGTTGGGGTTCCTCCAGCTATTTTACCTGCAAACCACTGCACCATCGTGGCTTTCACAATATCATCTGTTGTTTGGTGCAGTTTGTTGGATATGCATTTTAACATAGGCAATCTAAGATTCAAACGCAACCATTTATTTATTGAACTCTTTTGAGTTTATTGAGGGCTTTGTTTTCTGTGATAAAAATATTAGCAACTGTGGGATTTGGACCAAGAACTGAATGAAAGACAAATGATTAGCCACTGAGCCACGGCATTTGTGATGTTTGATATGGTTCATTGTGGTTGTTTTTTTAGTTTAGCAACAGCATTCATTAAAACAACAATTTATTGTTCAGCTGCTAGAGCGTTTTTTTACAGGGTTGGAGATAAACTCAGGAAAGTGGCTCGTCAGGAGCAGGATTAGGGACTTTTTTTTAAATCTCTTTCCTCTTCATGCTGTTTTCATATATTAATGCAGATACACTTAGTGTCCACAAGGTGGGGTACATGAACACATTAATCTGGTCTCTGGTTTCATGCACACATGCCTGCTCTCCATCCAGGATTCTCCAAACACTTGTCCTATGTAGAGAAGCTGGAGTCTGTCTGAAGGCAGAGAAACACAGGACACTGTGTCTGTTATATTAGGCAGTAAAAAGCGGCCATTAGACACATTTATAGTCAGCTGTTTTACCACAATAATAATATTTTATCCCAAATATTAAACAATCTTTACTATAAATGTAAAATCAGTGTAATTTTTGTGTTTTTGAGTCTGTAAAAGCGAGTCTCGCTCCTCCATTCACAACATCCATACCTCACGAGCGTCCAGAGATCCAGAGACTCACGTGCTCCTCACAACATGGTTCCTCATCACGTGACAGACAGACGAAGATCCAGCCAAGATTGACTATAAGTGCTGCACGAATCTGCTGCCAAAACTACACAAAGTCATTGTCTCATTGTCAAAGTATGTGCGACGCTTTGTAATATAATCAATCTGAAGCTGAATCAACTTTGTGTCTCTTTGCACTAATAAAATAAAGACTCGTCAAATTGAAACTGAAGCGCAGTTTTCCATCCGCTACACTAGGTAATTCACACACATCACCACAGGAGGGCGCAGCACTCATGTTTTTTAGACTCGATTTGCAACGGTGTAATTCACACAAATCACCACAGGAGGGCGAAACACTTTTACATTCATTGGACTTATATTGTTTTGTTGTTTTTATTTGCAAATATATCTATTTGAATTTTGAACAGAAGACAGGACGGAACATAGATAGTGTAAATAGTTCTGTTTGGAAGTTCTTATGTTTTTCTCCTCTCACCCTCTTACAGAAGTGTAGCGCATTTACACTAGCTCGTTAGACGGAGTTTACAAAAGTCTCCGCAGGTGGGTTAAGCTGATATGCGGTAAAAAGACTGAATTTGTTAGGCCTAAAATCACCGCATGAGGGGGCAACACTTTTATGTTCATAAGACTTGACTTGCAATGGTGTAATTTACAGAAATCACCACTGAGGGTCTATACACTCTTTTATGTTTATTACACTTGATTTGCAATGGTGTGATTCACACAAATCACTGCAGGAGGGTGACACTCTTTCATGTTTATTACGCTTGATTTGAAACGGTGTAATTCACACAAATCACCACAGGAGGGCGACACTCTTTTAAGTTTATTACACTTGATTTGCAATGGTGTAATTCACACACATCACCACAGGAGGGCACAACACTTCATGTTTTTTAGACTCGATTTGCAACGGTGTAATTCACACAAATCACCACAGGAGGGCGACACTCTTTTATGTTTATTACACTTGATTTGCAACGGTGTAATTCACACAAATCACCACAGGAGGGCGACACTCTTTTAAGTTTATTACACTTGATTTGCAACGGTGTAATTCACACACATCACCACAGGAGGGCGCAACACTCATGTTTTTTAGACTCGATTTGCAACGGTGTAATTCACACAAATCACCACAGGAGGGCGACACTCTTTTATGTTTATTACACTTGATTTGCAACGGTGTAATTCACACAAATCACCACAGGAGGGCGACCCCGTTTATTACACTTGATTTGCAATGGTGTAATTCACACAAATCACCACAGGAGGGAGAAATATTTCTAAGTTTATTTAGACTCTATTTGCAACGATGTAATTCACACAAATCACCCACAGGAGGGCGCAACACTTTAATGTTTATTAGACTTCGTTTGCGTCAGTGTAATTCACACAAATCACCACAGGAGGGCGACCCTCTTTTATGTTTATTACACTTGATTTGCAATGGTGTAATTCACACAAATCACCACAGGAGGGAGAAATATTTCTAAGTTTATTTAGACTCGATTTGCAACGATGTAATTCACACAAATCACCACCACAGGAGGGCACAACACTTTAATGTTTATTAGACTTCGTTTGCGTCAGTGTAATTCACAGAAATCATCACAGGAGGGCGAAACATTTTTAAGTTTATTTAGACTCGATTTGCAACGGTGTAATTCACACAAATCACCACAGGGGGGCGAAACACTTTTATGTTTATTTAGACTCGATTTGCAATGGTTTAATTCACACAAATCACCACCACAGGAGGGCGAAACACTTTTACATTCATTGGACTTATATTGTTTTGGTGTTTTTATTTGCAAATATATCTATTTGAATTTTGAACAGAAGACAGGACGGAACATAGATAGTGTAAATAGTTCTGTTTGGAAGTTCGTTTTTCTCCTCTCACCCTCTTACAGAAGTGTAGCGCATTTACACTAGCTCGTTAGACGATGTAGTTCACGAAGATCTCGGCAGGTGGGTTAAGCCGATTTGCAGTAATGTCACCACAAGAAGGTGAAACACTTTTGTGTTTATTTAGACTCGAGTCGATTTGCAACGGTGTAATTCAGACAAATCACCATAGGAGGGCAAAATATTTTTAAGTTTATTTAGACTCTATTTGCAAAGGTGTAATTCACACAAATCACCACATGAAGACATTTTTATTTACCAAAAATTGACAGATAAGAGTGGAAGAGCCAGTGGCTTAGTGGTCTGAGCGTTAGATCTTGGCGTGGGCAATCCAGGTTCAAATCTCTCTTGCGGTGTTTAGTTTCATTGGTTTTTCAACAAATAAAAAAGACAAAATTACCAAAAATTGATGAGTAAGAGTGGAAGTGCTGGTGGCTTAGTGGTCTGAGCGGTAGATCTTGTTGTGGGCAATCCAGGTTCGAGTCTCTCTCTTGTGGTGTTTAGTTTCATTGGTTTTTCAACAAATAAAAAAGACAAAATTACCAAAAATTGATGAGTAAGAGTGGAAGTGCTGTTGGCTTAGTGGTCTGAGCGGTAGAGCTTGTTGTGGGCAACCCAGGTTCGAGTCTCTCTCTTGTGGTGTTTAGTTTCATTGGTTTATCAACAAATAAAAAAGACAAAATTACCAAAAATTGGTGAGTAAGAGTAGAAGTGCTGGTGGCTCAGTGGTCTGAGTGTTTGATCTTGGTGTGGGCAACCCAGGTTCAAATCTCTCTCTTGTCGTGTTTAGCTTCAATGGTTTTTCAACAAATAAAAAAGACAAAATTACCAAAAATTCATAAGTAAGAGTGGAAGTACCAGTGGCTCAGTGGTCTGAGCATGTCCTCCTGGGGTCAGAAGGATCTGGGTTCAAACCCCAGCCTGGTATGTGAAGCATGGTTGCGTGAAGAACATCCAGTCGTGAGCTGTGACAAGCTGCAAAACTGAGCGGATCAGGTCATGACCAGGATGAGAGAAGGCAGGACACGAAGGGGGGAGTACATATCCAAACCGCTCCCCCTGGGACTTCCAAGACAATCTCGAGCAGCGGTTATGTAAAAGGAGTCCAAATTTTCAAAAAATTACTTGTAAAATTTTTCCCAAAAAAGCCTAAGTCAACATTTTGGGCGTGGCTTATGGACACTCCTCCCTTTGGGGCGTGGCTTATGGACACTCCCCCTTTTGGGCGTGGCTTATGGACACTCCCCCCATCTGGGCGTGGTTTATGGACACCCCCCCTTTTGTCATGGCCACTCCCCTTTACTGTTGATTGTACCTGCACTCCATCAAGGTTCAAATCTCAGCTGTTGCTTTCTCTGGGGAAACCAACCAGCACTTGAAAGGCGTTCCCACTTACTCACATGCTGAAAAATTCAGACTACAAATACATTAATAAACTGGATTTCTAATGAGGAAATCTTAACTGGTCTGTTTTATCTTGGCAATCATTAAATTGCAAATCAGTCACAGCTTGTCCAAATTAATAGACAAACTAAACCACGTGGGCCACACATCATCTGAATAATTAGTTAATTGACTGATCAACAGAGTCAGTAACAGCAGGTGTTGATGTTTAGAAAGCCAAGATCAGCTGGAAATCATGAACAGCACACAAATGTCACATTTACCATTTTATTGGACACAAACTGGAGTAGATCATTGTCAAAAACATGCCAGTTCAAAACAGAAACAGGTTGAGTCAGGAAAAGGCTCAGATGCATAACAGTTCGGCGGTTGCTCCTCTCAAAATACTCCATGCAAAGTCACTCACTGCTTTTCCTCATGACCTCCAGCAGCTCAAACCAAGAGATCCCTACAAACAGACAGCAGTGAGACAATCAGAAACACTTCAAATTTCACTAATAACTTCCCCTAGGAAGCTACAAATCTCAGAAAGAAACAAAGTGATTGTTTATAGAATAAATATAGATCATAGGAGGTGAAAACGCATGCTCATTTTATGAGCAATTAAACCAATGCAACAGCATCTGTAAGATATCAATCAAGCTACAAAATAGAATTAAATGTCACTTTGATGTCAATCCAAAACAACAAGTTAACATACAGACTCCTTCTACGAGCTATACAAGTATTTTACAAGTATTTCACAAGTATTTTACAAGTATTTTACAAACCTGTTCCAAGAGCCACACCAACATTGCACACCCTCGACGTCTTTCTTATCTGACCCATATATGTCTGGTTTTGGAGTCTCTACTAACGAGCTGATGAGTCGATTCAGGTGTGATTGATTAGGAAGAGTTGGAAAATGTGTTGTGTTTAACCACTGCACCATCGTGGCTTTCACAATATCATCTGTTGTTTGGTGCAGTTTGTTGGATATGCATTTTAACATAGGCAATCTAAGATTCAAACGCAACCATTTATTTATTGAACTCTTTTGAGTTTATTGAGGGCTTTGTTTTCTGTGATAAAAATATTAGCAACTGTGGGATTTGGACCAAGAACTGAATGAAAGACAAATGATTAGCCACTGAGCCACGGCATTTGTGATGTTTGATATGGTTCATTGTGGTTGTTTTTTTAGTTTAGCAACAGCATTCATTAAAACAACAATTTATTGTTCAGCTGCTAGAGCGGTTTTTTACAGGGTTGGAGATAAACTCAGGAAAGTGGCTCGTCAGGAGCAGGATTAGGGACTTTTTTTTTAAATCTCTTTCCTCTTCATGCTGTTTTCATATATTAATGCAGATACACTTAGTGTCCACAAGGTGGGGTACATGAACACATTAATCTGGTCTCTGGTTTCATGCACACATGCCTGCTCTCCATCCAGGATTCTCCAAACACTTGTCCTATGTAGAGAAGCTGGAGTCTGTCTGAAGGCAGAGAAACACAGGACACTGTGTCTGTTATATTAGGCAGTAAAAAGCGGCCATTAGACACATTTATAGTCAGCTGTTTTACCACAATAATAATATTTTATCCCAAATATTAAACAATCTTTACTATAAATGTAAAATCAGTGTAATTTTTGTGTTTTTGAGTCTGTAAAAGCGAGTCTCGCTCCTCCATTCATAACATCCATACCTCACGAGCGTCCAGAGATCCAGAGACTCACGTGCTCCTCACAACATGGTTCCTCATCACGTGACAGACAGACGAAGATCCAGCCAAGATTGACTATAAGTGCTGCACGAATCTGCTGCCAAAACTACACAAAGTCATTGTCTCATTGTCAAAGTATGTGCGACGCTTTGTAATATAATCAATCTGAAGCTGAATCAAACTTTGTGTCTCTTTGCACTAATAAAATAAAGACTCGTCAAATTGAAACTGAAGCGCAGTTTTCCATCCGCTCCACTAGGCGGCGTAATCGAGGTTCAGGTTCATTCTGTCAGCAGCAGCTTCAGATGATTGACAACATGGTGCTTGATATTGATAACAGTCAAAGCCACAACATGTGCAGTTTGTTTTAATAAAGCTGCACATTCTGTAGATGACAGCTCAGTGACAGACTCATAATGTCACTTAACAGCACACATTTCAAGCCATAAACAGAGAAAACAGACAAACCTTGTGACGAAGAGCAGGAGTCAAAGATGTCACACGACTCAGCCTGTAAGTCTCCTTCACTTACATTGTTTTCTCTTATAACAGTATTAGCTCACATCTAGCAGCCCTTATTTGTTGGAATTAGGTCATTATTTAGGTGTGTGTTGATTCTGAAAGCTGCTCCTCTGGTAATTTAGACTCTGTTTACATTCTGCTCTGTTGCTGAACTCCCTGTCAGACCTTCACAAGAACAAATGAATAGGTTGTTGTTGCGTTACATTTGTAATATTTCAACGAATCGCCATCTGCTGTTTATATTATGAAGTGGAATAATAGGAGATTGTGGTCTTTGTCTCTGTTGTTGTAGTGTTACTGTAGGTAATATTCTGGATTGATGCTTGTTCATAGAGTTAGTTAGTTTGTGAAGCTCTGATGTTCCTGGACATGCAGCTTCATGGTTTTGTAGAGATGCAGTGATTTGTTACTATTACTCTTGTTTATTGTGAAGCAAAGTCTCATCTTAATCTTACTTGAACCCAAAAAGTGTAACGTACTCTGTAGTATATGTTTCAAACTGTACAGATTTAGGCTTTAAATGTATTCCACTTACATCTATTAACTAGTCGTGTTTCACAATCTCATTTTTTAGATGCAGAAAATGAAATAATGTCTATTTTTATGTATGTCTTTCCTTGCAGAAAGAATGTGTTTGGACCGTTACATCCAGTCAACAGAAGCCGAGCTCTGGGCCGTTTGGACGGACATTCACCGTAGGATGGACATCAGCTCAGTCACAGGTAATGCTTTTGACGTGTTGGTGTGTAAATGTGTAGGTTAGCATCATTTTCTTTTTGAAGGGCCAGTCCTTTGAAAAGCAAACGATGGGAACCTAAGTAGGTGGGGAAGGGACGGCGGACGATTTTTTTTTTAAATTGCCATTTTCATTTTTTCCAGTCAAAAGCATAACCCCCTGCTGGACATCGTGCGGGAGCTCAGGGGGGGACCCCATGATCCCCCACACCTTCTCACTCGCACCACAGCATTCACTCATATCACGGAGATCTGGCTGGACTCGAACCAGCAACCTCTGAAACCGTGAGGCAACGCTCTTACCTGTGAGCCACAGATCTCTTGTCTGAACATGTGAAGGAACCTATATTTCACTATGTATGTGAGCTGGGATTTTACAATAAACCAGTTAAATGACACATCTCTAACTCACTGAGCTATGGGGTTTGAACCCATGACTCTGCCTCAACCTTGTCTCCCAGTGACGTGTGTTTAACCACTACACCACCGTGGCTTTCACACTGAGAGCTGCCGTTTGAGGCAGTTTGTTGGATATAATGCAATAAATGGTCTTTCGGGGACTTGACGCCCCCAGGTTCCAGCGTCATTAGTGCATAGACTATGCAGCATAGATATATACTGTGCTATATCTATGCTGCATATGTCTATGCACTAATGACGCTGGAACCTGGGGGCGCCAAGTCTCGAGAATTCGAGACTTGATAAATAGATATATTTATAGATAAATATATATAAATAGATATTTATAAATAGATAAATGATAAATAAAATGAATGATAAATAAAAAAAAATGAATAGATAAATGCAGCATAGATATATGCACAGCTGTGCTATATACTGTATTCTATGCTGTATATATCTATGCTGCATAGTCTATGCACTAATGACGCTGGAACCTGGGGGCGTCAAGTCCCCGAAAGACCATTTATTGCATTATATCCAACAAACTGCCTCAAACGGCAGCTCTCAGTGTGAAAGCCACGGTGGTGTAGTGGTTAAACACACGTCACTGGGAGACAAGGTTGAGGCAGAGTCATGGGTTCAAACCCCATAGCTCAGTGAGTTAGAGATGTGTCATTTAACTGGTTTATTGTAAAATCCCAGCTCACATACATAGTGAAATATAAGTTCCTTCACATGTTCAGACAAGAGATCTGTGGCTCACAGGTAAGAGCGTTGCCTCACGGTTTCAGAGGTTGCTGGTTCGAGTCCAGCCAGATCTCCGCTATGATATGAGATATGTGATATGAGTGAATGCTGTGGTGCGAGTGAGAAGGTGTGGGGGATCATGGGGTCCACCCCTGAGCTCCCGCACGATGTCCAGCAGGGGGTTATGCTTTTGACTGGAAAAAATGAAAATGGCAATTAAAAAAAAAATCGTCCGCCGTCCCTTCCCCACCTACTTAGGTTCCCATCGTTTGCTTTTCAAAGGACTGGCCCTTCAAAAAGAAAATGATGCTAACCTACACATTTACACACCAACACGTCAAAAGCATTACCTGTGACTGAGCTGATGTCCATCCTACGGTGAATGTCCGTCCAAACGGCCCAGAGCTCGGCTTCTGTTGACTGGATGTAACGGTCCAAACACATTCTTTCTGCAAGGAAAGACATACATAAAAATAGACATTATTTCATTTTCTGCATCTAAAAAATGAGATTGTGAAACACGACTAGTTAATAGATGTAAGTGGAATACATTTAAAGCCTAAATCTGTACAGTTTGAAACATATACTACAGAGTACGTTACACTTTTTGGGTTCAAGTAAGATTAAGATGAGACTTTGCTTCACAATAAACAAGAGTAATAGTAACAAATCACTGCATCTCTACAAAACCATGAAGCTGCATGTCCAGGAACATCAGAGCTTCACAAACTAACTAACTCTATGAACAAGCATCAATCCAGAATATTACCTACAGTAACACTACAACAACAGAGACAAAGACCACAATCTCCTATTATTCCACTTCATAATATAAACAGCAGATGGCGATTCGTTGAAATATTACAAATGTAACGCAACAACAACCTATTCATTTGTTCTTGTGAAGGTCTGACAGGGAGTTCAGCAACAGAGCAGAATGTAAACAGAGTCTAAATTACCAGAGGAGCAGCTTTCAGAATCAACACACACCTAAATAATGACCTAATTCCAACAAATAAGGGCTGCTAGATGTGAGCTAATACTGTTATAAGAGAAAACAATGTAAGTGAAGGAGACTTACAGGCTGAGTCGTGTGACATCTTTGATTCCTGCTCTTCGTCACAAGGTTTGTCTGTTTTCTCTGTTTATGGCTTGAAATGTGTGCTGTTAAGTGACATTATGAGTCTGTCACTGAGCTGTCATCTACAGAATGTGCAGCTTTATTAAAACAAACTGCACATGTTGTGGCTTTGACTGTTATCAATATCAAGCACCATGTTGTCAATCATCTGAAGCTGCTGCTGACAGAATGAACCTGAACCTCGATTACGCCGCCTAGTGGAGCGGATGGAAAACTGCGCTTCAGTTTCAATTTGACGAGTCTTTATTTTATTAGTGCAAAGAGACACAAAGTTTGATTCAGCTTCAGATTGATTATATTACAAAGCGTCGCACATACTTTGACAATGAGACAATGACTTTGTGTCGTTTTGGCAGCAGATTCGTGCAGCACTTATAGTCAATCTTGGCTGGATCTTCGTCTGTCTGTCACGTGATGAGGGAGGAACCATGTTGTGAGGAGCACGTGAGTCTCTGGATCTCTGGACGCTCGTGAGGTATGGATGTTATGAATGGAGGAGCGAGACTCGCTTTTACAGACTCAAAAACACAAAAATTACACTGATTTTACATTTATAGTAAAGATTGTTTAATATTTGGGATAAAATATTATTATTGTGGTAAAACAGCTGACTATAAATGTGTCTAATGGCCGCTTTTTACTGCCTAATATAACAGACACAGTGTCCTGTGTTTCTCTGCCTTCAGACAGACTCCAGCTTCTCTACATAGGACAAGTGTTTGGAGAATCCTGGATGGAGAGCAGGCATGTGTGCATGAAACCAGAGACCAGATTAATGTGTTCATGTACCCCACCTTGTGGACACTAAGTGTATCTGCATTAATATATGAAAACAGCATGAAGAGGAAAGAGATTTAAAAAAAAGTCCCTAATCCTGCTCCTGACGAGCCACTTTCCTGAGTTTATCTCCAACCCTGTAAAAAAACGCTCTAGCAGCTGAACAATAAATTGTTGTTTTAATGAATGCTGTTGCTAAACTAAAAAAACAACCACAATGAACCATATCAAACATCACAAATGCCGTGGCTCAGTGGCTAATCATTTGTCTTTCATTCAGTTCTTGGTCCAAATCCCACAGTTGCTAATATTTTTATCACAGAAAACAAAGCCCTCAATAAACTCAAAAGAGTTCAATAAATAAATGGTTGCGTTTGAATCTTAGATTGCCTATGTTAAAATGCATATCCAACAAACTGCACCAAACAACAGATGATATTGTGAAAGCCACGATGGTGCAGTGGTTAAACACAACACATTTTCCAACTCTTCCTAATCAATCACACCTGAATCGACTCATCAGCTCGTTAGTAGAGACTCCAAAACCAGACATATATGGGTCAGATAAGAAAGACGTCGAGGGTGTGCAATGTTGGTGTGGCTCTTGGAACAGGTTTGTAAAATACTTGTAAAATACTTGTGAAATACTTGTAAAATACTTGTATAGCTCGTAGAAGGAGTCTGTATGTTAACTTGTTGTTTTGGATTGACATCAAAGTGACATTTAATTCTATTTTGTAGCTTGATTGATATCTTACAGATGCTGTTGCATTGGTTTAATTGCTCATAAAATGAGCATGCGTTTTCACCTCCTATGATCTATATTTATTCTATAAACAATCACTTTGTTTCTTTCTGAGATTTGTAGCTTCCTAGGGGAAGTTATTAGTGAAATTTGAAGTGTTTCTGATTGTCTCACTGCTGTCTGTTTGTAGGGATCTCTTGGTTTGAGCTGCTGGAGGTCATGAGGAAAAGCAGTGAGTGACTTTGCATGGAGTATTTTGAGAGGAGCAACCGCCGAACTGTTATGCATCTGAGCCTTTTCCTGACTCAACCTGTTTCTGTTTTGAACTGGCATGTTTTTGACAATGATCTACTCCAGTTTGTGTCCAATAAAATGGTAAATGTGACATTTGTGTGCTGTTCATGATTTCCAGCTGATCTTGGCTTTCTAAACATCAACACCTGCTGTTACTGACTCTGTTGATCAGTCAATTAACTAATTATTCAGATGATGTGTGGCCCACGTGGTTTAGTTTGTCTATTAATTTGGACAAGCTGTGACTGATTTGCAATTTAATGATTGCCAAGATAAAACAGACCAGTTAAGATTTCCTCATTAGAAATCCAGTTTATTAATGTATTTGTAGTCTGAATTTTTCAGCATGTGAGTAAGTGGGAACGCCTTTCAAGTGCTGGTTGGTTTCCCCAGAGAAAGCAACAGCTGAGATTTGAACCTTGATGGAGTGCAGGTACAATCAACAGTAAAGGGGAGTGGCCATAAGCCATGACAAAAGGGGGAGTGTCCATAAGCCACGCCCAAAAGGGGGAGTGTCCATAAGCCACGCCCAAAAGGGGGAGTGTCCATAAGCCACGCCCCAAAGGGAGGAGTGTCCATAAGCCATGCCCAAAATGTTGACTTAGGCTTTTTTGGAAAAATTTTACAAGTAATTTTTCGAAAATTTGGACTCCTTTTACATAACCGCTGCTCGAGATTGTCTTGGAAGTCCCAGGGGGAGCGGTTTGGATATGTACTCCCCCCTTCGTGTCCTGCCTTCTCTCATCCTGGTCATGACCTGATCCGCTCAGTTTTGCAGCTTGTCACAGCTCACGACTGGATGTCCTTCACGCAACCATGCTTCACATACCAGGCTGGGGTTTGAACCCAGATCCTTCTGACCCCAGGAGGACATGCTCAGACCACTGAGCCACTGGTACTTCCACTCTTACTTATGAATTTTTGGTAATTTTGTCTTTTTTATTTGTTGAAAAACCATTGAAGCTAAACACGACAAGAGAGAGATTTGAACCTGGGTTGCCCACACCAAGATCAAACACTCAGACCACTGAGCCACCAGCACTTCTACTCTTACTCACCAATTTTTGGTAATTTTGTCTTTTTTATTTGTTGATAAACCAATGAAACTAAACACCACAAGAGAGAGACTCGAACCTGGGTTGCCCACAACAAGCTCTACCGCTCAGACCACTAAGCCAACAGCACTTCCACTCTTACTCATCAATTTTTGGTAATTTTGTCTTTTTTATTTGTTGAAAAACCAATGAAACTAAACACCACAAGAGAGAGACTCGAACCTGGATTGCCCACAACAAGATCTACCGCTCAGACCACTAAGCCACCAGCACTTCCACTCTTACTCATCAATTTTTGGTAATTTTGTCTTTTTTATTTGTTGAAAAACCAATGAAACTAAACACCGCAAGAGAGATTTGAACCTGGATTGCCCACGCCAAGATCTAACGCTCAGACCACTAAGCCACTGGCTCTTCCACTCTTATCTGTCAATTTTTGGTAAATAAAAATGTCTTCATGTGGTGATTTGTGTGAATTACACCTTTGCAAATAGAGTCTAAATAAACTTAAAAATATTTTGCCCTCCTATGGTGATTTGTCTGAATTACACCGTTGCAAATCGACTCGAGTCTAAATAAACACAAAAGTGTTTCACCTTCTTGTGGTGACATTACTGCAAATCGGCTTAACCCACCTGCCGAGATCTTCGTGAACTACATCGTCTAACGAGCTAGTGTAAATGCGCTACACTTCTGTAAGAGGGTGAGAGGAGAAAAACGAACTTCCAAACAGAACTATTTACACTATCTATGTTCCGTCCTGTCTTCTGTTCAAAATTCAAATAGATATATTTGCAAATAAAAACACCAAAACAATATAAGTCCAATGAATGTAAAAGTGTTTCGCCCTCCTGTGGTGGTGATTTGTGTGAATTAAACCATTGCAAATCGAGTCTAAATAAACATAAAAGTGTTTCGCCCCCCTGTGGTGATTTGTGTGAATTACACCGTTGCAAATCGAGTCTAAATAAACTTAAAAATGTTTCGCCCTCCTGTGATGATTTCTGTGAATTACACTGACGCAAACGAAGTCTAATAAACATTAAAGTGTTGTGCCCTCCTGTGGTGGTGATTTGTGTGAATTACATCGTTGCAAATCGAGTCTAAATAAACTTAGAAATATTTCTCCCTCCTGTGGTGATTTGTGTGAATTACACCATTGCAAATCAAGTGTAATAAACATAAAAGAGGGTCGCCCTCCTGTGGTGATTTGTGTGAATTACACTGACGCAAACGAAGTCTAATAAACATTAAAGTGTTGCGCCCTCCTGTGGGTGATTTGTGTGAATTACATCGTTGCAAATAGAGTCTAAATAAACTTAGAAATATTTCTCCCTCCTGTGGTGATTTGTGTGAATTACACCATTGCAAATCAAGTGTAATAAACGGGGTCGCCCTCCTGTGGTGATTTGTGTGAATTACACCGTTGCAAATCAAGTGTAATAAACATAAAAGAGTGTCGCCCTCCTGTGGTGATTTGTGTGAATTACACCGTTGCAAATCGAGTCTAAAAAACATGAGTGTTGCGCCCTCCTGTGGTGATGTGTGTGAATTACACCGTTGCAAATCAAGTGTAATAAACTTAAAAGAGTGTCGCCCTCCTGTGGTGATTTGTGTGAATTACACCGTTGCAAATCAAGTGTAATAAACATAAAAGAGTGTCGCCCTCCTGTGGTGATTTGTGTGAATTACACCGTTGCAAATCGAGTCTAAAAAACATGAGTGTTGTGCCCTCCTGTGGTGATGTGTGTGAATTACACCATTGCAAATCAAGTGTAATAAACTTAAAAGAGTGTCGCCCTCCTGTGGTGATTTGTGTGAATTACACCGTTTCAAATCAAGCGTAATAAACATGAAAGAGTGTCACCCTCCTGCAGTGATTTGTGTGAATCACACCATTGCAAATCAAGTGTAATAAACATAAAAGAGTGTATAGACCCTCAGTGGTGATTTCTGTAAATTACACCATTGCAAGTCAAGTCTTATGAACATAAAAGTGTTGCCCCCTCATGCGGTGATTTTAGGCCTAACAAATTCAGTCTTTTTACCGCATATCAGCTTAACCCACCTGCGGAGACTTTTGTAAACTCCGTCTAACGAGCTAGTGTAAATGCGCTACACTTCTGTAAGAGGGTGAGAGGAGAAAAACATAAGAACTTCCAAACAGAACTATTTACACTATCTATGTTCCGTCCTGTCTTCTGTTCAAAATTCAAATAGATATATTTGCAAATAAAAACAACAAAACAATATAAGTCCAATGAATGTAAAAGTGTTTCGCCCTCCTGTGGTGATTTGTGTGAATTACACCGTTGCAAATCGAGTCTAAAAAACATGAGTGCTGCGCCCTCCTGTGGTGATGTGTGTGAATTACCTAGTGTAGCGGATGGAAAACTGCGCTTCAGTTTCAATTTGACGAGTCTTTATTTTATTAGTGCAAAGAGACACAAAGTTGATTCAGCTTCAGATTGATTATATTACAAAGCGTCGCACATACTTTGACAATGAGACAATGACTTTGTGTAGTTTTGGCAGCAGATTCGTGCAGCACTTATAGTCAATCTTGGCTGGATCTTCGTCTGTCTGTCACGTGATGAGGAACCATGTTGTGAGGAGCACGTGAGTCTCTGGATCTCTGGACGCTCGTGAGGTATGGATGTTGTGAATGGAGGAGCGAGACTCGCTTTTACAGACTCAAAAACACAAAAATTACACTGATTTTACATTTATAGTAAAGATTGTTTAATATTTGGGATAAAATATTATTATTGTGGTAAAACAGCTGACTATAAATGTGTCTAATGGCCGCTTTTTACTGCCTAATATAACAGACACAGTGTCCTGTGTTTCTCTGCCTTCAGACAGACTCCAGCTTCTCTACATAGGACAAGTGTTTGGAGAATCCTGGATGGAGAGCAGGCATGTGTGCATGAAACCAGAGACCAGATTAATGTGTTCATGTACCCCACCTTGTGGACACTAAGTGTATCTGCATTAATATATGAAAACAGCATGAAGAGGAAAGAGATTTAAAAAAAAGTCCCTAATCCTGCTCCTGACGAGCCACTTTCCTGAGTTTATCTCCAACCCTGTAAAAAAACGCTCTAGCAGCTGAACAATAAATTGTTGTTTTAATGAATGCTGTTGCTAAACTAAAAAAACAACCACAATGAACCATATCAAACATCACAAATGCCGTGGCTCAGTGGCTAATCATTTGTCTTTCATTCAGTTCTTGGTCCAAATCCCACAGTTGCTAATATTTTTATCACAGAAAACAAAGCCCTCAATAAACTCAAAAGAGTTCAATAAATAAATGGTTGCGTTTGAATCTTAGATTGCCTATGTTAAAATGCATATCCAACAAACTGCACCAAACAACAGATGATATTGTGAAAGCCACGATGGTGCAGTGGTTAAACACAACACATTTTCCAACTCTTCCTAATCAATCACACCTGAATCGACTCATCAGCTCGTTAGTAGAGACTCCAAAACCAGACATATATGGGTCAGATAAGAAAGACGTCGAGGGTGTGCAATGTTGGTGTGGCTCTTGGAACAGGTTTGTAAAATACTTGTATAGCTCGTAGAAGGAGTCTGTATGTTAACTTGTTGTTTTGGATTAACATCAAAGTGACATTTAATTCTATTTTGTAGCTTGATTGATATCTTACAGATGCTGTTGCATTGGTTTAATTGCTCATAAAATGAGCATGCGTTTTCACCTCCTATGATCTATATTTATTCTATAAACAATCACTTTGTTTCTTTCTGAGATTTGTAGCTTCCTAGGGGAAGTTATTAGTGAAATTTGAAGTGTTTCTGATCGTCTCACTGCTGTCTGTTTGTAGGGATCTCTTGGTTTGAGCTGCTGGAGGTCATGAGGAAAAGCAGTGAGTGACTTTGCATGGAGTATTTTGAGAGGAGCAACCGCCGAACTGTTATGCATCTGAGCCTTTTCCTGACTCAACCTGTTTCTGTTTTGAACTGGCATGTTTTTGACAATGATCTACTTAAGTTTGTGTCCAATAAA